TCGTATTTCAAATCTTTGACTTGATCTTGCGATCCTCTGTCTGCTGTTGGATCTCTGTATATTATTCTTTATTTCAGTCAGTGTATGCTTAATTTCTAGTTGGTCTTTTTTTCATATCCTCCAGGGTCTCACTAAATTTATCGGCGGTTTCTAGAAAATTCTTGAAAAACCTTATAACCGTGGTTTTGAACTCTATATCCAGTCGTTTGCTTTCCTCCATTTCTGTCATTTGTGACCTGTTTCTTTGTCTCCGCATTTTTTATGCTTCCCTGCTTTGGTAGAGTGGCTTTGTGTGCTAGGTGTCCTATAGGGCCCAGTGGCTCAGCCTCCCCAATGACCTGAGGTGGACACTCTTGGTGCACCCCTTTGTGGGCTTTGTGCACAGTCTTGTTGTAGTTAAGCCTTGATTGTTGTTGGTATCACTGGGAGGAATTGACCTCCAGGCCAATTGGCTGTGAGAATCAGCTGTGTCTACGGTGGGAGAACTTCTGTGCTGAAGACACCCTTCTGGGGCAAGACTTGCTTCAGTGGGGCTTTGGTGCTCAGAGTCTGCCCCCTGAGTGTGTCCCTTATGGATCTGAGGAGTTGTAATCTGGATGGTCCACTCTGACCACTGGGTACACTGGCTCTTGGATCTCTAAGGAGGTGCTAATTTAGCCTCTGCCTGAGGCTACCCAGCAGGAGCTACGAAGAGATATGCAGATTCCCCTTCCTTGTTTGGGGTTTGGAGGTGCCCAGATGATGCCCAGCTGTGAAGCAGTGCAAGCTGCTGTGGGGCCTTGAGCCTTCTCTTGGAAGTTCTGGGTCTCTGACCCAGCTGCAGTTAGTTAGGTATTTTTAGATTGCGAAGGGCCAGGGCATTCATATGCAAAAGCCTCTGCTGCAGCCTGGGTGGGGCGGGGTCTCAGGGGATCAACAGCTATGGCTGATCCTCAGCCCTGCCCTAAGGGGCCGAGCGTCTCAGTGTCCCGGTAATTGCTGCAAGACCTTTGAGAGAAAGCCACCCTCGAGTTCCGAGTTCTGCCTGCTGCCAGACAGTCCAGTTTCTCCCCGTATGAGTCTGGGTCCCCAGAGACTCACCCGGAACTGGAGTTCAGAGCAGTCGGGGGCGTGTGACTCCCTCCAGATTCAGAAAGACAGCCACGTCCTCAGTTGCCAGCCCTTTCCGCGTGCGCCTCCGTACCTCTGCACTTTACTTCTGCACCTCCTCTGAGTCTCAGTGTGCTTTTCTCTTTTCTTCTAGTTGTAGAATTTCCACTCAGCCAGCCTTCCTGTAGTTCTGGATGATGTCTGTTTTGTTTTTAGTTGTATTTTTGAATTTGTTGTGGGAGGCAGCAATTTCCGGTGTTTACCTATGCCGCCATCTTGGTTTCTCTTCACTGGGCTTTTGTAATGGTGAAAGGAAATAACCCGTAATCGAGGCCAGGCACAGAGAGAGCACTGAGGAGAAGTTCACCGTTATTGTTATTCTTACAATCCATAAGTCCACACCAAAAACACGCCAAAAACAAACTACTCACTTCCCCCAGCCTGTCTCCCCAACTCTGCCAGAGGTAGCCCCACTGGTGCCCTTCCGTACGGACAGACCCAGGGTCTGACCTCTTCTCAGTTTCCACTGCTCACCTGGACCAGTGCAGTCAGCTCACCCCATTCCCCAGCTGCATCCTCCAGACAGCAGAGGGGTCCTGCTGAAATACAAAGAAATCACTGCCTTCCTGGGACTTCTGTGCCATGCAGGGGGAAAGCCAGGACCCTGCTGTTGCCTCCCACCCTTACTCCAATAACCAGGCCCCTTCTTAAACACCCCAGGCTCCATCCACCCTCTGTGCCTTTGCACTGGCTGTTCCCTCCTCCTGCAGTACTCCTCCCCAGATATCTGCATGCCTCTGTGCGTTCCCTTGCACGTATGCTCACATGTCTTCTCCCCGGTGAGGTCTCCCTTGCCCTCTGTTTAAAATGCAGCCTTCTCCCCTGACACACACATGTAAGAACCAAGGGCTCTTTCATTTCTCATGGTGACCCAGCATCCAGCATGGCATTCAGCACCCTGCAGGCACTTGGCAAAGGCAAGCCAGTCCTCCCTGTCACTTCCTCCTTCAGGTGGTCATTCTCTTCCTCAGGTGACTGTTCTCAGTGTGTGACCTGTGGCAGGTGGCACAATGGATCTGGCTTATGTCTGCGAGTGGGAGAAGTGGCCCAAGAGCACCCACTGTCCGTCAGTGCCCCTGGCCTGCGCCTGGTCCTGCCGCAACCTCATCGCTTTCACCACGGACCTCCGGAATGATGACCAGGGTACACCCCTTCACCTCCAGCCCAGCTCCCATTTCCTCTTCTCCCCTCCCCACACATTATATACCCCTGGCTCCCATGGTGCCTGGCATGGGTGACTCCATGTCTCTAGCCTGCCTGGTAGCCACCTCCAACCTGTCCAGGCCCTTTCAGTCCTTCCTCATTCACAATTGGGACATGCATTTAACTGATGGTTG